TCGTTGAATTCTGTTGGCCAGGATTTTATTCAGTATTTTTGCATCTATGTTCATAAGAAATATTGGCCTATAGTTTTCTATTTTGGTGGTGTCCTTTCCTGGGTTTGGTATCAAGGATATGTTTGCTTCATAGAATGAATCTGGGAGACTTCCACCTTTCTCTATTTCATGAAATAGTTTATGTAGAATTGGTGACTTCTTTGAATGTTTGATAAAATTCACTTGTAAAACCATCTGGCCCAGGGCTCTTTTTGGTGGGAAGTTGTTGTGTTACCTTTTCAATTTCTTCTTTTGTGATGGGTCTGTTCAGATGTTCAGTTTCTGTTAGTTTAGGTAGATTGTACATTTCTAGGTATTTGTCCACTGTCTCTAGGTTTTCGTATTTATTTGAGTATAATTTTCCATAATACTCTAATGTTAGCTTTTTTATTTTTATTTTTTTATTTTATCTTATTTTTTTTATTATTTTTGTGTGTGTACCGTCAATTCAGATCTGACTGGTACAGAAGGAAATTGTACCTCCTTCCCCAGCAGAGCATCTGGTGGATTTGAACCTTGTGCCTCTGGGATTGTAGTTGCAGCTCCTTGCCACTAGGCCACCAGAGCTCCCCCTTAGCTTTTTTATTTTTGTTGGTTCTGTTGTGATGTTGCCTGACTCATCTCTTACTCGCACTGTTTGTGTTTTTTCTTTCTTTGTGAGTTTTGCTAATGGTTTGTCAGTTTTATTAACCTTTTCAAAGAACCAACTTCTAGTTTTGTTGATAGTTTCAATTGTTTTTCGGTTTTCTATTTCATTTATTTCTGCTCTAATTTTTATAATTTCGGGTTTTTTAGAGGGTGTTGGGTTTTCTTGGTGCTCTTTTTCAATTTGAAGATGTTGAGTTAGAGAGTCAGTGGTCAATTTTTCTTGCCTTTTGATATGTTTGCTTATTGCTATAAAGTGACCTCTAATTACTGCTTTGGCTGTTTCCCAGAGGTTCTGGTAAGTAGTGTTTTCATTGTCGTTTGTTTCAAGAAACTTTTTAATTTATTAGTTCTTCTAGTACCCAGTCGTGTTCAAGCAAGGAGTTGTTCAGCTTCCAAATGCATGTTTTTTTTTCTCCTTTATCGTTCTATTATTAATTTCTAATTTTGTAGCATTATGGTCTGAAAAGATGCTTTGTATTATTTCTATGTTTTTGAATTTATTGATGATTGCCTTGTGTCCCAGAATGTGATCTATTCTGGAGAATGTTCCATGTACTTTGGAGAAGAAGGTATACTGGGGGTGCATTAGCCTATAAATATCTATGAGGTCAATTTGGTTTATTGTATGATTTAATTCTTTGTTGAGTTTCTTTCTGGTAGTTCTGTCTTTTCTTGAGAGGGTTGTATTGAAGTCTCCAAGTATTATAGCAGTGTTGTCTCTTTCCTTTTTCAGTCTTGTTAATGTTTGTTTTATGTAGTTTGCAGGTCTTTCATTTGGTGCATAGATGTTTATTATTGTTATGTCCTCTTATTCTGTTGACCCTCTCAGCATTATGTAGTGACCTTCCTTGTCCTTTGTGATGGTTTTTACATTGATATTTACTTTATCAGAGATTAATATCGCTACTCCTGCTTTTTTCTGGTTGCTGTTTGCTTGTTATTTTTTTCCCCACCCTTTTATTTTTAGTCTGTCTTTATCTTCATTTTTCAGATGTGTCTCTTATAGACACTTTTATCCAGTCTGCTACTCTTTTTCTCTTTAGTGGTGCATTTAAACTATTTACATTCAGTGTGATTATTGAGAGGCAAGCTTTTATTGGTATCATTGTGTTGAGTTCTTTTTGGTGTTGTTGCTAGTTACTTTGGTCCATGATGCTTTCTGTGGTATCTCTGTAAGAAGGACATCTCTGAGTCTTTCCTTCAGTTCTGGTCTTGTTTTTACAAACTTACTAGGTTCTGCTTTTCTGGGAATATCTTGATCTGTCCTTCATATTTGATGGATAACTTTGCTGGGTACAGGATTTTTGGTTGACAGTTGTGTTCTTTGAGTGTTTGATATATGTCCTTCCACTCTCTTCTTGCTTGCATGATTTCTTTTGAGAAATTAGCACTTAATCTTATCTGCTCTCCCTTATAGGTTACTCTTTGTTTCTCCCTTGCTGCTTTCAGGATTCTCTCCTTATCTTTGGTTCTGGCAAATGTAACTATGCCTTGATGTTTTTCTTTTTGGATCTAGTCTATAAGGTGTTCACTGAGCTTCTTGTATATATATTCTCTCATTCTTCATTATGCTGGGAAGTTTTCCTTTAGTAATTCTCCCAGAACTTTTTCAGTGCCTTTACTTGCTTCTTCCTGTTTTGGGATTCCAATGATGTGCATGTTATTTCTCTTGATGGCGTCTCACGTTATTCTTAGGTTTTCTTCTTTTTCCTTCCTTTTTGAGTGCTTTTTGCTCTAGCAAATCAGTGGTTACAATTTTGTCTTCTATTTCACTGGTTCTTTGTTCCATCTCTTCAACTCTGCTCATGTGTCCCTCTATCATGTTGACAGCATCTGAAACGTTGGACCTCATATTTTGGATAGTGGTTTCTTGTTTTTCCAGTGCCGCTAATGCCTCATTTGTTTTCTCTACATTGTTCTGGGCTGTTTTGGTTTTTTTTTTTTTTACCTCCTCCTGGTTTTTGCTTGTAGTATCCTGTAATTCTTCAAGTTTGTCTTTCATCCATTGAAAATATTCATTCGTTGTTCTTTTAAATTCTGTGACAGAAAGTTCCATCAGACTTTCTGGCTTCAGGAAATCCATCAATACTGTGTCACCCTTTGGGGGTAATATCTTGCTTTGTGCTTGTGTATTGTGTGGGACAGCTTGCTTTCTTGGAGACATTGATATGCTCTTTTTTTTTATCTTCTTGATCTGAAGATAATGCTCTAGAGATCAGTTGGGTAGCTATCCCACCTGTGCTTTTCTCTGAACGTCTGACTCCAGGGAAATGTCAGTTCAGAGACTGTGAGAGCAGCCTCTTGTAGATAAGATAGGTGAAGGTGCTCCGGATTAGAGGCAGGTTGATTACCCAGAGGTGTAGACACAGGTTTGGAGCCAAATGGGGTTGCGGCGATCACAAGGGCAGGTCACCCACTTGGGGGACCTCACTCAGTCCTCAGTTGTCTGGGTATGCTTACAGTTGAGGTCCCTATTCAAATTCCAGCTGTCTATTTCCCACCCCACCCAGTGGTTTTCATTCACTGATCCCTGTCTAGTGGTGCTCACGGAGTTGCCGTTGCCAAGTGGCCCCTGCCCAGGAAGGCTCCTGGGTCCAAGGGGACTCAACAAGACAAAGTCAAATTCCCACCAACCCACTCGCCTCTGGCTGGTCTGCAGTGTCCACAAAAGTTCAGCCAAATTATCTTCTGGGTCCAAGGGGGACTCAACAAGACAAAGTCAGATTCCCACCAACCCACTCGCCTCTGGCTGGTTTGCAGTGTCCACAAAAGTTCAGCCAAATTATCACTGGCCTGCTCGTCCCTGGGCAGTTGGCTGCCCCCAGAGAGCTCAGCCCAAGTCCCACCAGTGGGCTCACCCTTGGGAAATCTCCGAGACAATCGATGGTGCCCAAGAAAACCCAATTAGGATCCTACCAGCCTTTCTCGTGGCAGATCAGTCCCACACCAGCTCGATTGGTGGCTTCAGACGATGGCTGGCTCCGGTGTGTGCCTTTGTGTGTTGACTCAGAATCGTACTGTCCATAGCTGTTGTTGTGCTGCGCGAAGGAGTCTTTAGTGGCCCTGGAGCACCGCCAGGGGGTGCAGGGTTGTGGTGAGGCCACCAGGGTATGCCAGAAGTGTGGGGGCGTGGGATGGTGGTGGGGTGGTGTCCCTGGACATGGTGCTGTCGCAGGGATGGGGGTGCAGGGCTTGGGCAGCGCTGGGAGTTAGGGGCTGCAGTCTGTTCCCAGATATTAAGCTGCCAGCCCTCAGCAAATAAGTCTTCCTGCACCACGTTGTCCTTGTGCGCCACGTCGCCCTTCATAATATAGTTTTTTAATTGTATTCAGCCTGGACTTCCAAATCAAATCCACTCAGTTTGAATTTGGACAGGGTTCTCCATTGGGTTTCCAAGGTTGTGAATCATTATAGGAGGAGATTCCACATCTTCATCCTTGGAGCAACTAGTGGATTCTAACTACTAACCTTCTGGTTTTTTGTTAGGTGCCATCGAGTTGAGAACAACTCACGGTGTCTCTTTGTAAACAGGGAACTTGAACCCTGCCCCTATCCTGTGCCATCCTCTTCATCCCTGACACATTAGTGGTACAATATACAACACACAACACTGCGAGGGTTCCATAGCTTTGGACCATAGGGCTCCCATATTGCACAGATCTAGGAACACCATCATCATGGACACGAAGTAGTACTGCTGGACTATTTATAATATTGTTTTGAGATTGTAAAATTGAGAGAGTTTGAGTTTGTTTTTGATAAGATGTTTTAGTCTATAGTTGATAGAAAATATTCCTTTTTGTTTCTAGCAGGAATAAATTGACTAAAGTGGCAGAAGGGAAGTGTCAGGCTCCTCATTCACATGAGCTCCTTCCAAGAAGGAGGAAGGAGTTCCAATGAGTTTATATTTGCAGTTTTGCAATCTTTTTTTCTCAAAGAGGGCCCCCATTGTCTGAGCTTCAAACCTAACAAAATCTGGGTCTATCCCATGTTCTTCCTCATTGGGACAAGCCTCAGATACCAAAATTTCTGACGTGTTAATTTACTCAGCTCCATAATAAATCTGCCCCTGATTTTCTACATGTGGTTATTTCCATATTTTTGTGTATTAACTGTGTTGAAACTACAAGGGTGACAAGGTAATTCAGAAATTGCTCAAAACATATCTTTGTCAAATGTCTAATTAGTATCTATATAGTGCTTAGTTCTATCAGGTTTGATGAAGGACCTGGGTTTCCAGGCAATCTCTCGATAACACTTTTCTCTCCCAGGATGACTAGGTCTTCACTAACATCTCTTTGCTTTGCCTGAAGATTCGTGGTACAGATAAAAGCAACGTACGGGAGTTACACATTGCATATCGATATGGAGAACATTATGATAGTGTCCGGAGGATCAATGACAACTCAGAAGCACCTGCGCATCTCCAGACTGATGTGAGTGAAATCATGGTATTCTTCTGTACTTATTTAGCCTTGTGGACCAGACCCACAGCTGTATGCCCTGCAGTGATGTTTTTGTAGAATTTCCTTTAAGATTTTGTGGGTTTGTGGGGCTCAGGAGGGGGAACTGAGGCAAAGACAGTGCTTTACATTTAATTTGGTGAGTAGTAGCACTTAGGATCTTAAAAACTAGAGAATGCCCATTTAAGTGACCATCTGCAGTGCAACTTTTGATCTCTCTCTACCTGGAGCAGAGGAGAATATTAGAAGAGTTGTTCTAAAAGACTAATGAAAATGAACCACATGAACCTCAGCCTCTGCAGCCTTGACACCAGAAGAACTAGATGGTGCCCAGCTACCACTGCTGACCATTGAAGGGATCATGGTAGGAGATCCTGGATAGAGTGAGGAAACAAAATGTACAAAATGCAGAATTGTTAAAAAGTGTGTTTGTTGATCTCATTGAGAGTGGTTGAGTCTCCAAGACTTATGGCTTCTAGACAACCTTCCACCCTGGACTTGAACTTGTTCCTGTGGCCCAGCTTTCAGCCAAATTATGTACATACTTCATTATACAGTCAGTTACATAAGATGACAGCATTTGCCAGGGATGAAGCTCAGAAGGCAGGATGGGATAGGTAAAAACTGTAAACACAGGGAGGCAATGGGAAGAGAGCTGTTACATTGTATGAATTGTAATCAGTGTCTCAAAACAAAATGTGTATCAGTTGTTGTATTGAAAATCAGTTTGCTCTGTAAACTTTCACTCAAAGCAAAATAGAAAGTTAAAAAAACTCTCATCAGACAACCAAACGGAATAGTTGATCTTAGATGTTCTTATTAAATAGTTACCCATTTTTAAAAAAATGAATCTGTAAGCTGGGTTGGTTTTGTTTTGTTTTTAAAGTTCAGTTGAGTAGTAGTTGTGTACTGTTGAATTAAGACCAATGCATTGTTGATACACCAGCGCGTTTTTAGAGGCAGTAAGTTGCATGGGAGGAAACTTCCTGTCTTTCTCACATGGAGGGTCTGGTGGTTTTGAACCATATACATGCTTTTGGTTTGGCAGTACAATTCCTTACCACTAGACTGCGCTCTCTAATAGTAGGTAACTAAGACTGTGATTGTAATTTCTATGACATTTTCCTTCCTTTTATATTTTAAAATTAATCCATGGTTCTTAACTAAAGTAAAGAAGTAGAAAACAACACGGAAATCAACTACATAAACATAACTTTTACTATTGTTTTGGCAGATTTCCTCTAATACTGCGTGTTTAAAATTAAAGTTAGGCATCAGGGCTGTATCCTCTTTTCATACTTATTCAGTCTGTATGATGAACAAATAATTTGAGCAACTGGACTTCATGAAGAAGAATGTGCTTTAAGGATTGGAAGAAGACTTCAGCAACCTGTGTTATGCAGATGACACAATCTTGCTTGCTGTGAGGAGGACTTGAAACACTTGCAGATCAAAGACTACCGACTTCAATGTGGATTACATTTTGACATAAGGAAAACAATTATCCTCACCATTGGACCAACTAGGCAGCATCATGATAGATGGAGAAAAGACTGAAGTTGTCAGTGATTTCATCTTGCTTGAATCCACTATCAACACTTTTGGTACTTGCAGTCAAGAAATCAAAAGACATACTGCACTGGGAAAGTCTACTGTCAGGGACCTCTTCAGAGTCCTCAAAGGCAGTGATACCAGCTTAAAGACTAAGGTGCACCTGATTCAAGCTGTGGTCTTTTTGGTCACCTGTTAAACTCTGAGAACTGGACAGTGAAAAAGGATAAGAGAAGAAGGATCGATGCCTTTGAGTTGTGGTGTCAGAGAAAAGTACTGAGTATCCCACAGAATGTCAAAACAACAAACATACATGGCTTGGAGAAGGTGCAACCAAAGTGTTGCTTAGTGGCAAGGATAGTGAAACTTTGTTTCATATACTTTGGGCATGTTGTTAGGAGAAGGACATCGTGCTTAGAAAGGTGGAGGGTCAGTGAAAGAGAGGAAGACCTAAAAAAAAATGTATTGACACAGTGACTGCATTAATGAGCTCAAGGATGTCAGAGATTGATTGTGAGGATGGCACAGGATAGAACAGAACTCAGATCTCTTCTTCATAGCAGTGCTATGAAACGTTTTCAACTTGATGACATTTAGCAAAATAACAGTGCATTAAAAGATGATTGAGAGTTGTTATGTGCGGTGGAGTCACCTGTGACTTATAGGGACTCTTAAGTACAGCAGCTCTGAAGCCAGCCCTATTCTGAAACAGTCTCACCAACTCTTGACACCTATCCTCATTACCCCAGTTAACTATCAATCCATCTTCTCTAGGATCTTCCTCTCCTATGCTGTTCCTTCACCTTTCCAAGCATGAAGTCCTACTCCAAGGACTGGTCCCTCCTAGCCATGTGCCCAAAGTATGTTGAGATGGAGCTTCAGAATCTTAGCTTCCAAGGAGAAACTTGGTTTCACCCTCTCTGAGGCAGATTTGTTTTCTTGGTGGTCCATGGTATATTCAAGACTTCTCCAACATGCCAGTTTGAAGGCATCAGTTCTTTTTCTGTCATCCTTAGTCATTGACCAACTTTCTGATGCATAGCAAGTAAAGCGAAGACCATCGCCTGGATCAGGTGCTTCTCAGTACTCTGGAGAGGTCCCTGGCAGCAGATTTTCCCAGTGCAGTTCATCTTTTGATTTCCTGACTGCTGGTGCCAAGATTGTGGAGTCAAGCAAGCTGTAATTGTTACATAACCTCAATCTCTTCTCCATCTATCATGGTGCTGCCAATTGGCCCAGGGTGAGAATCTTTGTCTTACTATTTATGTAGCCTTGTTTCTTGGTTCTTTTTCTATTAACATTGCATAATCCTTTTCTCACGTTATTACATGCTTTTGAAGACATCATTAAATTTTTAAATTTACTAGGTAATATTTATTTGTTGATCAGAATTAAGAAGGTGTAACAGCATGTGTCCCAAAGCCTCATTGGAAAAGGATATCATGCTTGGAAGGGTGGAGTGACTGCAGGAGAGGAAAACCCTAAATGAGATGGATTGACTCCTCTTTTAAAAATATGAATGTTAGAACTAGTTTGTTTCAGTAAAAATCTTGTTCATATTTTGGGGACGAGGGAGTGGGCAGGAAGAAAAATGCAACGATGAATGACTGGAAACCATCAGTCTCTGTAAACTTTCAATAAAATTAATAATAAAATAAAATCTTGTTAATTTTTATTGTGATCTTGTCCAGTTAATAGATTGACCTACGGAGGAGTTGACACCTTTGTGATGTGTTCTTCCTAGTCATTAACCTAGAAGGCTTTTTGACTTGTTTAATTAACCTATTTTTGTGATATATTAAAACATTTTCTTCAGAGACTTTACTTGCTTCCTAGGAGCACCCTGGTTGCATTATTTCCAAGACCGTTTCATTTGTTCTTTAGTCGTCTGTGTTGTTATGTTCAGTACTCTTTATGAGCACCACAGTTTAGTCATTTGTGAGAGCTTTTCTTTACGTTGAAATGTATTTCATATTGAAACCTTTCATCTGCTCTAAGTGCTTAAAGTCCTCTTCATTTCCTGCAAACAAGGTTATGTCATGTGCGTAATACAGATTGTTAATGAGTCTTCCTTCAGTCCTGATGTCAGAATCTTTTTCATGTACTCCAACTTCTGGGATTATTTGCTCAACACTGGACCAGCACGCAACATCATGATAAATAGAGAAAAGATTGACATTGTCAAAGGTTTACTTTTTTTTGATCTACAATCAACTCCCATGGAAGCAGTAGTCACCTATGACTCATAGTAACCTCATGAACAACAAACAGATCAGAACCTTGCCCTGTCCTGCACCACTGCCTCCACCATGCCCAAGCTCATTGTTGCAGTCTTTCATTCAGTCAGTCTCTTTGAGGTCTTCCTTCCTTTCCCTTTCTTTCTCTCTATGGTTTTTGCAATTACTTGTTATGCATCAGAGAGTTGGACAATGACTAGGGAGGATAGAAGGAGAATTGATGCCTTTGAGCTGTGGTGCTGGAGAAGAGTATTGAATATACCATGGACTGCCAAGAAAACAAACAGATTCATCCTGGAGAGGGTTAAACCAAGCTACTCCTTGGAGGCAAGGATTCTGGGGCTTCGTCTGACATACTCTGGACATTTTGTAAGGAGGGACAGGTCTTTGGAGAGGGACATCATGCTTGGGAGGGTGGAGGGACGGCGCAAGAGGGGAAGACCCTCTATGAGATGGATTGATTCAGTGACTGGGGTAATCGGGATGGGTGTGTCAGAGGCAGTGCGATTGGCACAGGATAGAGCAGGGTTTAGGGCTGTTGTACACAGGGTCGCTGTGAGTCGCAAACCACTCGACGCCACATAACAACAACGCTTCCTGACAACATGTCCATAGCTTGTGAGATAAAGTTTTGCCATCCTTGCCTCTCAGGAGCACCCTGGTTGCACTTCTTCCGAGATAGGCTTGTTTGTTCTTTTGGTAGTCCAAGGTTTATATCGTGACGGCTTAAGGAATTGGAGGTCAGCTGCACTTTGTGGTTATAGAATTAGGCTTTACGGGTTCCCCAGAGTACGGTGATAATATCCCTGAGTTTAAATGGCTGTCCCTGAGTTTAGTTGGGATAGGAACTTTAGCAGACAGGACTTGGCTTGTGATCATTGTGGGGCTAGGGAAACAGATGAGAATTCTAGTTGTGTATCTTCAAGACCATTACTGTCCTGTAGCAGAAGTGCACGCAGTGCTAGTGCAGAGTATCATTTTTGTTCAACAGAGACAGATGTGTGCTTTTGTTGCCAAAATGAATCCCGAGTCATTGCCAGAAAGTTTCTAGTAAGCATAGAAGCTGTAATGCCATTCTTCCTGAACAGTTCATCCTGTTTCTTGAAGCTTTATTTTTAATGCTCATAGCCTGGAATCTCAGTGCTTGGGTGAATTTCAGCCTAGTCTTTGCTATTTCCCTTAAGATTGTTTCTTTCTCCCCACATACTTACATGTGCTTGACATTAGAGTGTTTTATTGTGTTGAAGAATCTGATGGTCCTTTGTTTCTTTTTAGTTTCAAATACTTCATCAGGATGACTCAAATAAAAGAGAAAAGATTAAGGCAAAGGGAGTTGACTTTGAAGATGACCTGAGAGATGAAGTAGAAGATGCTGTCCAGAAAGTTTGTAATGCAACTGGATGTTCAGTTAGTATTTCTGTCATGCTTTGAAAATGCTTTCTAAACACATGCTGCTGTGCCAGTAGTTTTGTAGTGCCAATACACCATGTCAACACCTGGTGGGGCAATATAAATCCATTAGATTTGTAGTTTGATTAGATTATGTGATAAGACTTGATGAGACCTGTTTATTCATTTTCATCTTGTTTGCTAGACTTTACCCAATACTGCTCAAAATCCTAAGGAAAACCTTTACTTTTTTGACTAATAGTTGAAAATTTTTTTTTACTAGCAGATACACTTTTAGAGAATAATTCATTTGTTAATATATAATGATTATTTTAGATGTCCTACTTTATTGAAAATGAAGATAATTGTAAATGAAAAAAAATCTGATAATCTTAACTCTAGCTACTACATCTCTTTTTTATCAGATTGTTGAAGTAGAACAAGGTAGGCAAATATATCCAGAGTCTTGAACTATTTTTTTTTCTTGGATAGGATTTTAATTTAATAGTCCAGAACTTGGAAGCTGAAAATTACAATATTGACTCAGCCATACTTGCCATGCTTCAGATGAACCAGGGGAAAAGAAATAGTAAGTCTATTGAATTAAAAGTTTTAGAAAATTACTGTTGTTGATTTCCCAAATAATGATTTTTAATCAAATAACAAGTACTATTTATTGTATTAATTTGTTCAATAACTATTGAACACCTTCTGTGTGCAGACTTTCCTTTTTTAAACCAACTATTCAGAGAGTAAATAAGACCCAGACATTTCATCAGAGAGCATATGGGGTTGTTGGGTGGGATGTAGAGACAAATAGACAGTGGGGTTCAAGCTGCTAGGCAGTTCATGAGGTGGCCATTTGACCTGATCTTAGAGGCATGAAGAATGTCACGGATATTATATCCTCTTAGGAGTAAGATCTTCTAAAATCAGAATGATAGCTGAGATAGATAAGATCTTCTAAAATCAGAATGATAGCTGAGATAGAATAATTTGTTGTTTTTGTTGTCAGCTGCCGTTGAGTCTAGACTATGACCATTTGAACAAAAGATCTGAACCCGGTTATGTCTGCGCCATCCAGACACTTCCTGACACACAAAAGCCCATTGCAGAGTCATCGTGTCAGTCCACCTGGTTGAGGGTCTTCCTCGCCTTTGCCGATCCTCTTTAACAAATATTTGCTGCCAGATATTAGGTGCCGGTAGCTTTTCTGACATTATTATGCTCCTTATAATTAGACCTTGTATCCACTTTAAATTTTCTATGCCACGTTAGAAATTCTTACATAGGTCTTTGAAATTTAGAGCAGTCCTGTTCAGTATCCCTGCTCTCCAGTATGAGCAATACTGGAAATGTGGCTAGTACAGCCAAGTTACTAAAATTTACATCTTAATTTAAAATTAAGTAGTTAACGAGTACATTATACTAGACAAGCACAGCTTTAAGCCTCTTTCCTGATTTTGAGGTGCACATGAAAGATTTTTCCCCTAAAATTTTATGGTTCTCTAATAAAACAGAGATCTTACATTGTTGATGGAAGCTGATGAAAGGCTGATCAATATGTTATTTTTACTTTCTCTTCCAAAATTTACCAGTCATCTTTTCTCTGAATTCACCACTGTATTAATACGGTGTTAGAGTTTGGCCTCAGGGAGTGATGTAATCTAGGGACCTGGGTAATAATGAATTAATTTTAAACAGCAGTCATGTTGTGAATTATCTTAGGTTCTTAATTTTAATAAAATATCTTTGTTTGGAAGATGCAGAAGAGAACTCCGAGACCAACAGCCACGTCCTGAAGCAGTGTGGCCCTTTATGGGAAGAGGGTGGCAGTGGTACCAGAATCTTTGGAAATGAGGGCTTAAACGAAGGCAGGACTGAAAATAATAAGGCACAGGCCAGCCCTAGTGAAGAGAACAAAGCAAATAAAAACCAACTCCCAAAGGTATGAAAGGTCAAAAGAGCAGTTGGTGGACTGCTATAATTTCATTGAAGTTTGTGGGAACTTGGAATTCATTTGAGTTTATATTTTCTCTTGATTGATAAAAAGAATTACTGTAGAAAGCATGGGCAGTGCATAAAGATTTACAAGAAGAAGGATCAGGAGTTTACTCATAGTCCTGTTGTCCAGTTTGCTGTATTCAGTGAAGATTAGAAAGAGGTATATAAACTAAAATAGGATTCTGTGTATGGACTTACTGTGAGGATAACACACAGTTGGGTAGGGCTTTGCTCTGTTGTACACAGGGTTGCTATGAGTCAGAGCTAAATCTGTGGCACCTAATAACTACATTACAGTGTGAATGTTTTCCATGTCAGTTTATATTACTGTATATATATCATTGTATGTAATGAATAACTCTTATGTATACATCTTCGCCTTGTGTACTGTTTCCTTGAATGGTGTTCCAGACGAGGAGGTTAAAGAGTGTGGAGGTAGGAATCTTTTTAAGGCTTTTTGGTAAAATTGCACATAGTCTCAAGGAAGAGTTGTGCACCTCTCTCCTTGTTCCTCACACACAAGAATATATGTTATCATTCATTTTATTGAATTTAGAATTCATTTTTAATGACTTTCATAATCTGAGTCCAAAATGCAGCATAATATAAAAAGCCACAGAGGTGAAGCTATATAATATTTTCAGGATATTTTATTAGAATTATCTGGGACTTTAAATTACGTAGAAGAAGGTATTTTATGATGTGCCTTCATGTTTTCTGTTGCTGGACTAGTGTAAACATCTAGTTGAGAAGTTTTTGTTTATGAGGTGAATGGAATTGATACTGTTTGCTAGCTCAGTAAGGGAATATGAATTTAAATATAAATTTGAGCAGTAATGGAAAATGATCATTCTTGATCTCTCGAGCTATTTTTCGCTGAGCTGGAAAGCAGATTGTGTCCTTTGTATCTCCTTTCAGCAGGCGGCAGCTTGGCTGACCTGTGCTGGCAGTTACTGTAGTTGTCTTCTGTTTCAGGCCACAAACAAACAGAAGAGGGAGCAGCAGCGACTGGAGAAGAAGAAACGACAGGAGGAAAGGCACCGTCAGAAAGCTCTGGAGAGCAAGAATAGCCACAGGGACAATAACAGAAGTGAAACGGATGTGAATACGCAGGTCACCTTGGTGAAGACCTTCGCTGCTCTCAACATCTGACTCTGGCCTTTTGGGAATTGTAATAAGCTGATGGAAAATGAAATGCTCTCTCCCACCTTCCCAGTGAGGCCATCTTTATGAAAATGAAATGAAATGTAATCAACAGAATCCATATGTAAACTCTCTACACTAGATTGGTCTCCTCCAAGCTGCCTCTTTTTTAAAATTTTTTGCTATTGATATGCTTTATTTATGAAAGTGTAGTGAAGCCACTCACCTTCCATAATACAATATTACATTTTAGAGATGGATAATTAGGTCAGGAAAACCTTGTCGGTATAGCTTTGCTTGCTCTGAAAATCAGAGTTTAGTGTCCCTGGGACCTTACCTTAGGGGTGAGTTTTGCCCAATTGTCAAGTAGTTTGGATTAATTGTTAGAAATTCTAAACAAGTTTCCTTTGTTTCCCTTATATTTTCAAACAGATTAATAGGGTAGTTTTTAAACAATTTGCAACTCAGGAACACATTAGATTTCACTTTCTGCTACTCCAAGTTACTTACTCAAACCATTCAGGAGTGTTTTTCCAAAGTAACACAATAAGGAGACTGGCTTGGAATCAGTCTGGAAATGAAACAACTGTATTTCTCACCTTGGGTCTGCTGTGATTTCAGCCAGGATGCAGGTGCTGTTTTATTATTTGTTCTTGAGCCATATGAGAAATGCGCCTGACTGTTAATTGGCCCTGGGATGTGTAGGGAAATTGATAGTGTTGAGTTTTTAGTACCCACTACTTGGCCATGGGAAGACTTGATTGTTATGCTTTGTGATACAATTCTGAGATTCCAATTAAATAGAGCAATTAAATAGAGCAGAATCTGTTGTCATAAACTGAGAAACTGCAGAATTCCTAGGGTTTGGAAGAATGTCTGTAAGTTTTTCAATATTCACATTTTAAGTAATATTTTTCCTTTTTTGCTATTCTAGACATTGAAAGGTGCCTTTGGAGAATTAAAGGTTACTTGGCCTTATAGATTCTTACATTTTCCTAGCATGGTGGAAATTATGTCCCAATAAAATGCTACGTTTGTTTTTTAATGTTGCGAAACTCCCCAGAACCCACCAGGAGTTGTCAGAAAAAGTACTTTAAGACTTTAAACAAAACCACAGTTCTGAAATAGGCATAATTGGTGAGCAGAGAGGTGCTATTCTTAAATTTTAGGAGTTTGGTAGATGTCAGCTTAAAGATCATAATGTATAAGGTAGCTAGCTATGAATAAGCTTTGCCCTTTGCAGACATAATATTTGCACAAATAACATGTTGAATCAGAAGTTAAATTATCAATTAACCTCTCAAATTTTAAAGTCAGACATTCTCAGGAGAGGGGATGATGACTCTGTTTTGAAACATATAGATCATTCTTTAGGTTGTCCCAGGATTCATGCAGTTGTTTTCTTTCTTGGGTTTTAGTAACATATTAATACTTGTTTGGATTTTGATTACTTTTGGAATGGCTCCCAGGACACTGTGGCTACAGGATTTGCAATATTTAACAGAATTCTTTACTTGAGTGTTTTAGAGTGTGATGAGTTTAAACTCTAGTATGCAGTACATACAAGGAAGGGTATGTAACCTTTTGTCTCTAATGGTGTGGGATTAGTGCCTCAGAATCTGCTGTATTTTCTTTTTCCTCTGGGCAAATTCTTAATGGTAAACTGAGCTTTTTTTCCCAGAACAATCCTTTTCTACTTTGTACTGTGAGTGCACAAGTCCAGGTACTCTCAGAAGAATCAAAATTGTGTTCCAGAACTCAGCAGAATGAAAATACAAAAGTAACGTGAGAGAGCCCTGCTGACTGAAACAGTAGAATCCTTTACTTAGCTGTATAGTAGAGGGCCTTGTGGTCTTTATTGGGTTCTAAACTGGGTTTAGAAACGTAAAAAATTACTTAAGAATACTGGGAAAATTTATTTATAATTCTGCTTCTAGACCTCAGCATTTCATAACTGGTTTTAAAAGGTAATCACATGGGCTGCAGTAATTTTCTTTTATTACCGTCTCACAACTTTCCAGTTGTGACTCGTCTGTTTAGCTAGTGTTAAGTATTAGAAAAGGGATACATGTATTTAACTTCAATAATACCTTCTAGCTAAAGGTTTGAATTTAGAATTCACTGCCTCAATCTAATGAAAATGCCACCTAGATGTCTACATTATTACCTTAGTAGGCACTTGACGATTATTTTATTAGCAGCCAAAATGAAGACCTGGTATGTTTAGTCCTGGAGTGACTATGTTTGTAACTGATAGAGATACTCATGTGAACACCATTTAGGGAACTCATTCTTTGTTAATCTCTGGGCTGTATCTTGGCTGTTAGAGTTTTGTGTTACATGGAATTGCCTTGGTAGCTTCTAGTATGATAGGAGCAAGGGAGGAGAGCAGTGGTCAGTAGCTGCTTACTAATCTTACCGTTGTATATAAAGGTTTAATGGATTTTAAAGAAAATTTTAAGTCTTAATAAAATTTTAGTGATGACAATTTGAACTAGAGAGGTGTAGATGTATTAAAACAACTTAGAACCACAGCTAAGTAATATAGTTGCCATCAGGAGATTATTAGATATTCACTAACTTGAATATGTGCTTTCAGGAGCAAAATCTAGTTAAGAATTTTGGCAGAAAGAAGAATCTTAAATGTTTGGTTGTTTATAGTTTCTTTTATAAACTCTGGAAACAGTTCTAGACCTATTTTGATTTCAAGGGCTTGTGAAGCCGAATTGCCCTTGCAGGTCCACTAGACCTCAGCTTAGTGGAATCTCCTCACAGGGAATTGATGCCCTGCCCTGATTCCTTGGAGAATCATTCCAATGTGAAATGATACGGTAGCAGGGTTGGGGAGGAGAGTCTTACTAAGTGGGGAGAGCGTTCACATTATGCAGCTAGATATCAGGTGGATTTGGCATTGAACTGTACTTGTAGTGAGTCCTTGTAGTCAATGTGAAATTTATCTCGTTTTGAGAAACCCTTTAGACTCTGCCTGGGTTTTACTAGGTCAGCATAGAATGTTATCAGTTTACTTCTGTGCAATGTTCAATTTCAATATTCAGTCGGTTAAAAGACACTAGATTTTTAGAGCTGACAGACACTGACCAAAACGATCTTTGTAGGCTGAAGAGAGAGAAGTGTGTCTTGATAATGTGTCACATTTGTGGCTTCCATTTTGGGTAGAAGCATAGCTCTTCACCTTCTTACCTCAAGGTTCAGTCTCTTTGTACCAGGCCTCTAGACTTGGAGCCTGATGCAGTTTGTCTCTGTTTGCTATTGTTATTCACGGTTTCACTCATCTTTACTTTCAGAACAGGCGTTCTAAAACTCTGGAGCTTTCTAACAATTCTATTTTTTTTTTTTTAAGTTCTTGAACAATTTAATAATGCCACTTTTTACAAGGTACGTTTTCTCGGCTCTAAAGCAGATTGTATTTTTTCATTTACTTCTTTGAATTCTCCATCTTCTTCCATCTAGATATTTTTAAAACAGAGATGGCATATTTTAAAAATAGCATATCTTTTTGCCATTACAGATTAGAAAGGAGAGCATGAATACTCTTCTCGAAAGTGGCAATAAAATTGTACATCAGTCACAAAGTGTATAGACAATTGAGAAACTCAAAATGTGCACCCTAGAGGCCAAGGCCAGAAGAAATAACTGCCTTGTGTACTGCCGGGCCCTGTTCTGTCCCAAGATAAAATTTTATATTGAATCTCAGGCTCTTAACTCTTGTTTTAAGGGATTCCTTTCTAGAGTATCTCTATTTAATAGTCCTAGTTAGGACTACTTTATAGCCCATTTACAACATTTAGCATCTTTGCAAGTTACTGAGAAGGCTCTGTTATCATTGTTAAAATGCATTTATGTAAAAGATGAATGTCTGTGTAGTGGATTTATTTTAAGCAGAGCAGATTTGTGATACAAAACTGCTCACTGTGCTGGTCACCATGGGAGGTACTTAGCACAGGACAGCACTTCTGTTGCCTAGCTTTTGTCCCTTGCATGTCAGTGTCCAGTCGGTCACTGTTGCCAGCCAGCCATGACAATCATTTGCACATAGTCACAGGTATCAGCCTGTGATTTGATCCCCTGGCAGGTCCTGTGAGCCAAAGCTTGAGGAATACTGATGTGGGACTCTTTCATCCTCAATGTAGGAGGGGTCTCCCTGGCTCATGTCCCACCATTCTTCACCAGCACTGAGCCCAGTGAAAAGATGAGAAAAGACAGGAGTCAGACTTCAAGCTTTGTGCTCTTTTCTGTCACAGGGGTGCTGGTGTGCTACCGCCCCTTCACAGAGGAGGGAGAGTGGGTCGGTGATGAAGGGGCCTTCTCTTTTCTAATTGCACTATACTTGTTCTAGCTTCAGTTTGGAGATATTTAAGACCTCCATGGGGTCATGATCCATAGACTTAGCAAGTCTTGCCTTATCTATGGAACTCGATGGTGAGAAATGTGACCATTATCTGATGTCCATAGTTGATTTTTCCCCCCTAGGTTTTTTTCTTTCCACAGATTGTGTTCATCTAAACCATGTTATTTTTCATTTACCAAAGTACTGTACTTGGCTATTTGCAGTGTTTTCAAAACCAAATGTTTCTTTTTTTTTTTTTTTTTGTCGTCTTTTTAATCTTCAATACTTGGTGCAATAGAAGCTGCAAAGATGTGCCACTTTATCTATGAAACGGAGTTTTGTATATCAATAAATTCTTGTTTAAAAACAGTCTCAGGTTGTTTTGACCATTAAGTGAGAAAGACTTGGGATTGCTTGCTGGAAAATGTCCTTTTTTAGAAATCTTTAAGTGAAAGAGGTGAGTGTGTATCAGATTGAGTGTTGTTCCAGTGTGTAAATTGACTGAAGGGAAAGTATCTGACTTTAATTTCATTACAGCCATCATCTATTACTTAGATTTCTATCTCTGATCACTTGGAATTGGCTAATATAAAGCAGTTGTCTGTGCTGGCTTCTGTCTTGGAATTTCTGTAGAACTCTGAGGGTTGGTTTGAACAAAGTA